CTTGGTTTTGATTCTGACTCGTTCGGTGTGAATTTTTATATTTTCGTCAAGATCGGGACCTCACTTTTTGTTCTGGGTGCAGTCTCAGTTTCAGTAAGTTTTTTTCTTAGTCCTAACTCTGGTCATATTCCTGTTGAAATGCCTATTTGGTTATAATCCTGGTCTCAGTGACTTGACTTTGTCTGTTGCTTGTCCATATCTAGAGAAGCTGTTGTAGAATTTACGTATCTTGGATTGCAAATAATTTTTGAATACTCGTATTTTTTTATTATACTTTTCGATGATCGAAGTACGTAGGACAAAGCTTTTTTGCTTATCCCGAGCTTGGTCTTTGTATAAACTTTCTTTTACTCCGAATCTTGGTCTCTGTCCTGGTAAATCTTTTGTCTGTGGTTCGGTGTGGGTGTCGTTAGGAATAAATTTTAGTCCTTCGTATGACACCCATAGGCAAACTTTTTTGTAAGTCAATAAAGATCGTAAGGAGCAGCGAGCACAGGAATGAAAACGTGCAAGTTCAGAAAAAAGAGAGGTGCTTTAATGTGGCGCGGTACGTTTCCAGACTGTTGAATGCGTTTCTTAGGGATCTTGATTAGATCGGTATCAGAATGCAGAGTATTTGATTTAGTCAATATCAACCTGTTCGCTAAGGGCATATGGATGAATAAGCCTGATATTTCAAATAGGATAAGGCTTTTCACATCAGCGTAGGGCTGCATTAATTATGGCATCATTCTATCGAGCAATAAGAACAAGCGAAAAGTGAACAAAGTTGAAGCTCACCGTGTCGACAGCAGGTTGAAGTTGATGAATTATATTTTAAGAAAGCTTGACGATTGTTTTTCTTTTAGTATGTGTACAAAAAGCAATGAAAATGAATCCCTTCAAAGAACGAAGCACTTCTCTGCAAGAGACAAACAACATGAATAAGTTTGAGAAAAAGAGGTGAGCGCAAAATTTGAAACAGCAGCATGAAAGAGAAAGTATAAACAGTGAATGAGCGCACCGCGAATACACGCACAACACTTTGTGTCTCACTTGATTAGACGTGGAAAAAATGCTACCTTTCATTTTAATTCATTTGTGCAAACAAAGAAAGAAAAAAAAGCTGGCTTCAAATGTGAGTGCTCGAAAAAGTATTTCTCTTCATATATTCTCCGAAACAGTAAACGAAATTGAAGACTCTTCAACGATGACGACCATGGCATCAGAGTAGATCAACAATGCAGTTCTCTTTTTACAGTCCTTACATCGTTTTTTCAGTTCTCTTTGACGTTGGTGTTGTGTAAAGAAATACGAAATTGCACAGTCTCCATGGTAAGCTACCGATCGATGAGTATTATTTGAAAACTGAAGTACTAAAAAGATACTCAGAAATGATTTTTTTCTGTAGAATAGGAAGATCCAAAATCAATCATAAGTAATTTTGCTTCAACAGAATAGTAATTGTTCATCAATGCATATTTCTTGTCTGCTAGATTTTCATAATTCTATGTTTGAGGAGTGCAGATGTGTGTACTGATATTAATATCATCTTCTAATGGCCTTCCGTTCCTCTTTTCTCTTTTCTTCTTATCCAATCTCTATTGTTATTTTCTATGTTCATCTTTATCTTTCTCTCTATCTTTTACTTACTCCTATATCACTTTATGTTATATGTGGACTAGTTAAATAAGCATTATTGTCAGGAGTGGCGATGTGCTATTCTCTCCAATTAATCGTTATACGGCGACCCATAGTAGTGTATTCTAGCTCATCTTGTTGATGTCGATGCTTTATCAACAGTAACAATACTATGAAAAAGAGCCAATGAGTCAATAGAAACAGGACAGTCAATCCTTTGCTTTACAGTGCGTAAAATAGAAAGTATGAATAAAATTCATATGATAATGATCTCCTTAATCGGCTTGAATGGTGGCCACCTCTGGTGGTCAAGGGTTTGCAAGAGCTTTTAGGACAAAATTAATTATATAAAGTAAAGCAATGAACAAATTTTTTATGTACTACTAGCTGCAAAAATAACGTAGCAATTGAACGGTTCAGTCAGCCGGCAGAAAAATGGCAAGCAAGTGTTCCCTTTCTACTGTGTGACAACTCATTATATTGGCATAAGCCTTATACTTGCTATGATATTCATAAAGTTTGCAATGGTTCACTGGTTAACTACATATGCAGCGCAAACTAAAAACATCAATTATTCAGCTATACCAAGAAGACAGCAAGCTCATGTTGTTGACTATGAATGTGATGACATATCAGCCATAACCAATTAAAGTTTACTTATCACCACTCATACACATGTCGTAAGAAGGGCAGCATGTCAAGCCATAATGATCTATGTCTTGTTTAGCATCACCATAGGGATTCTGTTAAATTTACTTTTTCGATGAATAATGATCTGTGAAGGATAAATGTTCACAAATTGGCATTGTTAACGAGAAAAAAGTAATCAATCATGCACCTGTATGATAATAAATAGATAAAAGATATCAAAATGAGTTTCTTTTTCTTTGATTGTCATTAGGGTCCATAAATTTTATTATTTTCTTTTACAAAATGGAAGTGCTATGTCTGATAAGATAAGACTACTTTTGCAATTTCTATGCTGTACAAATTGTGTACGTATACTAACAAAACTTCTGAAATAACATCTCTACATTTTGTTGATGCTAAATCACTGTTTTGTTATGTTTTGTATGAAATACTGGAGCTGAGCATTTAATTATTGTGAAGATAAGTCGTTCGGAATATTTCATGGAGTTGTCGGCTCTTCGTCATCCGACACTTTCGGCATTGGCGAACGTCCACTGCACTTTCACCAATTCACTCTCTGAGCATTCGCCCATGTATACCTACATTTTTGCAAGTTTGCATATAACTTTCAAATTGGTTACAGAGATTCGTATTAACTACGCATATACTGTTCTGAGACAATTGACTAATGCCCACTAAATCTTTGCTAATACCGGTGAAATTTCACAAGACTCTTGCCAAACAATCTATAAAAATTAAGCAAATTGTTGCCAATTCACCCGAAGATCTTCGGCAATTAGTAAAATTATACTGAGCTTTTGCCAACTATTGGCGAAGAACGAGAATCCCATTTTGTACACTCTTGGTCATTGCTTTTATTATGGCGTTCTGTCAGTTGTTGAATAATGTGTAGATCGTTAAGTAATCTCAAAAATGAGTGTGAAAATATGTAATTGATAGGGTGTGGGGTGTGGGTGTGGATGTGAATATTAATGAAGGGAAGATAAACACCCACACCCACACCCTCGTATAGTAGCTGAGATCCGAGTGGGGGAATACTTTTGGCCAGTAATGTATATAAAACCATATACGTTTAGAACAGTGTTATAAATGGAATCGGTATGCGATTGCGCAATTACAACTTAAAAGTACTTTTTCTGCACCGTAGTACATCCGCTTGTTTTTGAAGGCACTTAATAGTATTTTTCCATGTTACTTTGTTAAAATTAGTTGTCTAAGCCACATTGAGTAGCAGTTTTCTTTTTCAGTGCTTACGATAACTTCAATGGTAAGCTTGTGATTGAAGTTTTCTGTGCAACTTAAATAAAGCGACTTTTCGCGAAGCAATTCAAGCTACCTAGAGAATGTGCATTCGCAAGGATTTTCTAATCATGCAGGATGTGGATTTGCGTTTCTGAGCGTAAAAGAGTAATTACATTCCACCCCACGCCACACACCTTACACCCACAGTTGTATCCACACCCTCTGATGCGATAGTTACGTTAGTCTTCTGGTGAAATCTTGGGGAGGGTGGACGATGTTTGGGTTCTTGTTTTTTGAAAATTGAATGAAGACAATCCGAATATATGCATCTGGAGCTATATATTCATTGTAGAGTATATTACAAAAAAACAAAATGAATCGATTTACTGAATTTCAACTTGAAAACAAGAAACTAAAACCAATTGCTGGTTACTGGGCCTATCGACTTGTTTCTCTCGACGAAGCATTGAAGCCTTTCTTAACCAAAATAAATGAACTACAGCGTTCTATCAAAGAAGCTAAGAAACATTGTACTTATCCATCAGAACATAATCTCACTCGTGATGAATCGGCCGCTTTATTATTATATACCATGGAAGCCGACGATTATAGTTTTTATCGGGAGTTGAACCAAGTTCTAAGAACAGAAGATCGAAACGAGGTAAAACCATGGTTTGGCTATCTCAAGCTATTTGATACAGCGCTCAACAAATTGCCTACAGTAAAAGGAAACGTTTGGCGAGCTGTACCTGGCAATGTGGCAATTGGTTATAAGAACAACCAGCTAGTGACATGGTGGAGTATTAGCTCTTGCTCAACGTCAGCAGAAGTCGTCAAAGCTTTTTTAAAGCCCAATCAAGAAGCAACACTTTTCATGATCGAAGCTGTCAACGGGAAAAGTCTAGCTGGCTATACTATGTTTCCTGATGAACACGAAGTCATATTAACAGTTGGCACCCAATTGCGTGTGAAAAGTATTGGATTTCAACATGGTAATCTACATTTAGTACATTTGGAAGAAATAGATGACAATGCTGCTGATGATGATGATGAAAAATTAGCAGCAGCTATGGCTACAACATATGTAACATCAAAACCATCAAAACCTAGCAGTCAATCAACACATCGTGAGTCGCTCATCTATATCCCTCATCTTAAATAGGTATGAAAGAAGAGCAAACTAAAAGGATGAAGTTCGTGTTGGTGTATGATATGGCTATGAGTGTTATTACTGCAATTTTATGTAGCGACACCAACACTCTAAAAAAAGCTTTTGTCGAAGTCCTGCAAATAGTTTCTAGGTTTGCTAATATACGTAACTCCGTATAGGTTTTCCACCAGTAGATGTTCTCAAAATTTTGAAAAACATTTACAGCCTGCCTACGTAGTATTTCGATTATAAAGAACACCCGAATCCTCCCTAAAGAAAATTTCAGGATATGCTGTGACTAATGGGGAGGAAAACTTGCGTCGCAACACAGCTACGTTTGAAGGAAATTTTTGCGAAACAAAGTTAAAAATTGCTTACTTGGCAACCGAAAGATCTCTGTCAACTTTCATTCTAGGCTTCCATTTAAATACTAAGTAATTTTAAATAAAAACTAAGTAAAACATGCGATTTTGCTAAGTCATTTATTGAAAATCATTCTAAGTAAAAAAAAGTATTCTAGCTATGTTTTTCATTTAACCGTTTCGAGGCGATGTGAACCACAGGTGGCTCACGACAAAAAAATTTGAATATCTCCACTCTATTAAAGCCAAATGAACTGTTTTGTCAATCGCAGAAGAATGTTTACAATTTTTATTCATAAAAGAAACATCAATGAATGCTGCTTTAAGATACTATAATTGGCTGCAAGAAGAAAAACTAACCTTTTCGGATTTTCGCAAAATGCCATCATATTTGTATTGTAAAAGTTATTTCGAATCAGTGAAGTCTATAAATTCAGAAAGTTCTCACAAAAACGCTAATCATTGTTTCGAATTATAGATGGAAATTGCTGGTATAATATGTTTGAGATAAAACAAAATCTGTTGCAGTTCAATAATCTCAAGAATGTACATGTTTTTTTTCGAAATCTGGAGGAGATTACTTTTCCTTCTTAAAGCCGATTATGGTGTCTTAAAGCAGCATTCATTGTTGTTTCTTTTGTGAATAAAAATTTTAAATATTCTTATGTGATTGACAAAGAGAACCAGGTCATTTAGTTTTAATAGAGTGGATATATTCAAATTTTTTTTCTGTAAGCCATCTGTGGCTCACAGCGCCTCGAAATGGTTAATGAGGGTGCGAGCCTACATCTTCTTTTCATCCGCACGAAACATTCACACCCATACCCTTATTTTCGTACCTCTCCATGGTTCTCTTAAAGAAATGGATTTCAAATATTCAATGAATGAAGTGATATATTATATTACGTATGAGCATGAGCTATAATTTCGGGTGTTGTTCAGACATCAGAATCAAGTTTTCCTGGCATTTCCATGAGCCTCAGAATTCCAGAAATCCACCGATTTCCTCTTGGGTTTTTGTGGACTTTGTTATTTTAGGGAGAAAAACATTGTGTTTAACCGTTTTGTGGCGACACAAATATTGCTTTTTTTATTATTTGTGAAAGTTTTCATTTCTTTACTTGTGACGACTGTAATACTTCAAAACAACTTTCATCAATGTTTCTCTTATCAATATAAACTATGAACATTTCTTTAACAGTGATAAAAGAATCAACTCCCTTGACCAACCTATGGCAGAGATATTCACTGTTTTTTCTGTAGTAAATGAGCTTTTCAGGTACTTTATACTGTGACCAACTGGTGAGTAAGACCGCCGAGAAAGGACTAAGTCGAAATTTTCATAATATTGTACTCCTAAATAAACTTTTTTGTGGACATAATTGCAACTCGAAATATAATAAGTCGATTTGTTACTTTTTTGCATGTCTCAATGGAGTCTGTATCATTTAACAGAATCCGAACTCAAAAGCAACTGAAGAGTTGAAACTATTCCATGTATGAGAGTGTTTTCAACTTGTAGGAGAAATGCATTTTATACTGAAAACAAGAGATTTGAGCGTCACAACGATGACCTAAGAAGTGTTTTTAGGTGCTGAAGTGATCTTCAGTAGTAAGAGCCATACAAACTTTTGTATAGACATTACAAAAAAGGTCTATTCAGATGAATCTGGGCCCAATCAAAAAGAAGATGTTAACCTCACGAAAAACAAAAAGGTGTAACAGCGTTATGAGGTTTACTTAATCACTTTTCTTCTACAAGTAACAATAATACCAAGATGAAACATATTTTTGCATTTTTGAAAAATGAGCTTGATTCTCTATAAAAATCTGCTCCTGGTATGCCTTTCATTGTGAGATCAAATTTCGCAAGAAATTAGAACTTCAATAAGAGCACTTCAAATGCAGAGTCGTTTTATGTAATAGTAGAACGTGACAGGAAAAACTTTTTTGTAGAAACTTGAGACTTGTACGTACGTAGAAATGTCATTTTTATGTCATGTATACAACGTGATGAGATACGTCGAATTTTAATTAAGCAAAGTTTCTAGCTATCACAGAGTCGAAGATAATTGATAGAAACTGTGTCAAACAAAAGTAACAGTGTCATGTTTGATTAAAACGTTTCACTTGAGAGATGCGCAAATAAAAATACAATGTGTAATCTCATGTATTGAGATGTACTTTCATCTACTACCACATATAACCGAATATCTGACATTTCTCGGTGATATTATCATCGAAATAACGACATACAACTATAGACTTACACGCAATGTGTGTAGATAAAAAGGTATTGAAGTATTTGATTAACTATCGAACAATTTATGCGCTTGATGAATAAGTAGATAGATAAACAGATCTATACATAAAAATAAAGAAATAGAGAAAAAATTTCCTGGAAGTCTGTCCACTCTTATGTAAGTAAAATACATCCAAAGCCTTGTCGATAGACATAGATACTAAAGCATATAAGTTATTACTTGATAGCCAAATCTATAAATAGTTATGCATGTAGTGTTTTATCAATGCAACAAATAAATAGCTAGATGAAAATTAATCTGTATATTCGCACATCTCTCTTTCTTTCTATCTACATACTTTCCAACCGTTCAACATGATTGACGAAGCATTGCACAATCTTTTGTGACAATTATGAGTGACACTGTAACTGCTGATCATCAAATGTAGAAATCCAGATAGGTGAATATATAAATATCATCACAAACCTTTTCTTACTTACGTATGTGTCTATGCACGACAAATATGTCCAGACAGACAGTAATCTAAATATTAACACATCTGTACTCATGGAAAGGCTAATCAGACAACAACAGTACCTATGGACAGCGGATAATTATCTGAACTTCACATTCAAAAAACGGACAAAGTCACCTATCTCTTAATCATATAGCTTAATGACGACCAAAAGTCACAACTGAAATAACATAATTTTATTACCTTCAAAAAAGAAATTACGAGTTGGCCAACGAGCGTATAGCACAAACCAAGCCGTGAAAGATCAATCGACTCTTACCACCTGCCCACTAAACGAAACTTCACGAAAGATGCATACACATACATCCAATGAATTAAAGTGACACAGCAACACCCTGTAGACACAAACGCATATCAATCTATATACCTTACTGTCGATCCAAAGACAACTAAATATTTATTTTTGTACCTATCTATTTATATATCAAGGGCGGTGAGAAAGTTTGTAAGCAAAAAATGTTTGTTCATTTCACACCCGCCCGAAAGTATTCTATACGACTGTTAAAATAGGAGTAAGCACCGAAATTTTGTGCTCTTTCTGATTATGAATTCAGAAATTCTGTATCAAGTTTTGTTTGCAAGCAATAATAGAATCTTCGAAAGGCAAAAAAAATTGGTTCTGATGAAAATATTTTTTGCATACCTCAGTATTTTTTCTCTCAAGATTCTAAATTCAATACTTTAACTTTAGTTTATGTATCAGACTCTAACGCAAATCCAGCCCGTACCAAGTTCACTCTTTCCGTTCATTTGTATTTCCTAAGAAACATCTAACTTTTTGTTTCGTTTTTATCCTTGTATTTAAAAAAACGGATTTTTTGACCAAACTTGATATCACGTAAAAATAACTTTTTAGAAAATGCTTATAGTTTGATTTCTATTAGAGCTACATTAGAGTTCAGCATCACATTTTGTAGAACACTATGAGCTCTAAAAAAGTACCATAGCTACCAGTTATTAACACTGTCACATCAAGACGTACTGGAGAAGCAAATGCTTATTTGTTCGTCAATGAAACCGAAATTCCCGCATCTCCAAAGATTCTTTCAGTACTCTACCAAAAAAAGAAAAATAAAGTTTTTGAAAGTGCATTCGAAAAGCGCATAAAAATCTCATCATCATCTTGAGTTTTGTGAAACACGATCTGAAAGAAGTGTTAAAGTGTTTAGGGGTAGAAATTTGGACCCCCCCCCCCCCCCCCCCCCCCCCCCCCCCCCCCCCCCCCCCCCC